AAGAAAAAAGGAGAGTTGATAAAAAGTCATCTTGTCGAGTCTTTATAACTCGAGTGAATAAAATTGCAAGGGTTTAAAACCCGGTGCCCTAAAGCCAACTGGTTTGGGAGTCATCGTCTAAAGCTCGTTACATGGGTTATATAGAAAGCAAATGAAAAGATGATACACAAAAAAAAAAACTTAAAAATAAAAGCCCTCGTTGGACATTTGGTTGATAGAACTATAACTTCAATGCGAAGCAAGTAGCTTAGTTTAATCCTAAAGGTTGAAGTAATCAAAGATAAGGAGAGTCTCTACTTGTTGATATGTGAACTTGTAATGGTAAAATCTATCCAAACTAAGAGAGGGTAAGGATTAGAATTGTTTAAACTCCTAACCTTAGAATACACCCCGGAGAAATTGTGTGAAAAGAATACATTTGGGGATTGTGTATCTCTCGAGTGACGTAAGGATAAATTTGACCACTATGGGTCTGGGATAAACTAATCATAAGCTTGATATGTTGGCATGAGTTCACACACACACATTGAGTATTGCATTTGATAAGTAAAGGTTGATTCAATTCTCGCACTCTTGATATTGCTTCTATTATTATTACTAAGTCCAATCTTGAGACACGGCAAGCTATTAAGCCACATTTGTTTAGCATTAAGTTACTACATTGTTTGTATTGTTTGAGGACAAACAATAGTTTAAGTTTGGGGGATTTGATAAGTGTGTTTTTACACACTTATTTAGCTCACAAACATAACTTAAACATGGATAAAGTAGTTGAATTATGACTTAATCTTGTTAAATTCATGCTATGTAGGTGTTTCTATGGAAAAGATGGAATTCAGAAGAAAAGAGCCGAAAAAGGACCAAAACGAAATAAAGCGATAGTTCGAGGACCAAGCTGCAAATAATCCATAGATGAGATGGGAAATGGAATGAAGATTCAAGAGTGTTAAAGGTCAATCGGATGAGGAAAGGAGTCAAGAGGTGAAATATGGTCGAAGTATTATCAAGTATCAACTTTCAGGCGAAAAAATTATGCTCGTCATTTTGAGACTCTATTTGAGATCCATTTTTGGCATAGTAAATATCAGAATTTGAGGAAGCCTATTTCTATCAAAAGTGTATATCTTTGAGTTTTCTTCCAAATGCACTTTGAATCACTTCAATCGGAGATCGGGAGAGAAAGTTATGGCCAAAATACTGAAAACTGTCCGGAGGAAAATTTTTATAACCATGCGGCCACACAGGGTCTAGCAGGGTTTCAATTGAGCTGAAAAATTGAACCATGCGGCCGCATGGCTTTAAGTTCAATAAAAAATTCTGAAATCCCGTTTTTAATTTAAACTCTTTCGGGGCTCCGTGGGACATGATATAGAAGCCAAAATTCATCAGAAATAGGGTAGAACGTCCAGGGAGAAGAAAAATACAACTTTTGGAGGCAAGGAACATGAACTTGAAGCCGATTTCACAAGGATTCAAAGGGGTTTTCAAGGTTTTATTCAAGATTTCAGATTTCAAAAACTTTCATACGGGCGTTCTTCCTTCTATTCATTAATTTCGTTTTGTTTTTTGTAATTATGAATCTTCTAGGCTAGGGTTTCAATTACTAGGTGATCGATGAACCGTTGTTTATTATTTTAATTCTATATTTCATGAACTTGATATAAAGATTCATTGGATAATTTGATTGATTTACATGCATTAATTTTCTTCCGCAATTAGTGGCCAATGATTGTGTGAGTATTGATGATTTGTTTCTTACATTCGAGAGAAGTGGAATAGGTTCGATAAGGTGTAAATTAACATAGGGTCCGATAGGGGATATAGATATACCCCTATGCTTTATGTAATTCTTAAATTGTTCACAAAACTACATGCATTCTTGTGTGTTTGCATCATCCATAGAGATATAGGCTGGTGGTGTGCAAGAATAGGTCTAATATATATCAAGGGAGTATATTGGATAGAATTAGGAACATTGAATTGGCAAATTTTTAGCGAATCATTAATTTTATGAAATTAGGGTTTTTATAACTTCAATTGGGGATTCGTGATCCTAGTGACTTTAGTTTGATTCATTTTAATAAATTAGCTTTTAAACTTGCTTAATTTCATTTACTTGAGTGTTTAGATCATTTAATTAGAGAAATTTCGAAATTAGGGTTTCTAATTGAGAAATTAGGGTTTTCAATCGAAATTAGGGTTTTTAATTGAAATTAGGGCTTTTTGCATTTAGACCATATTTTCACTCAATTAGATTCGGTTAAGGCTAGATTATATAGAATTGAACTACTCAATCTCTAAGGGACGATATTCGGACTTTTAAAAATCCATTTTATTACTTGTTACGAACCGTACACTTGCGGTAATTTTAAATCGAAAGAATTATTTTGTGAACAATATGCCCTGTAAGATGTGGCTCGTTTGAGCAAATCAATCTTGAAATTCGTGTGTTCATTTTGAAATCTTAATCGGATCGAATTGCTCATTGGAGCTTAATAGACTCTTATACTATGTTAAAATTTGAAATTTCATTTTAAAAGGTTAACCAAGACCTTATAAGTTGGTTTATGATTTCATCTTTACGCACAAGACTCCAACTATAGAAAAAAGAAGAAATTAAGTTTATATTTGTGGTGTGAGTATAATGTGGAGTGATTATTTAAAAATACATTAAAACCCTAATTATTAATTTTACTTAAGGCAATTATGTCAAGAATTTTATGATCCAGCGCCTATTTGAGCCTTACTTTTTTTTCTTTTCTTTTTTTTGGCCCTAAATGCATTTTGGAAAGTATTTTGTTGGATAATGTTTGGTTGAAAAATCTTGGATTTAGGTGTAATATGGTTTTATTGAAAAATATATAGTTGAAAATAAGAGAGAGAAAATTGTATTTTGAAAATAATGGATACCAAACAAGGACCCAATCTATAGTATTTGACATGGTGCCCCATTGGCCATTGCACCGTAAGAATAGCACCGTAGATTCGAGATACTTGGTTCTAATCTATTTGTTAATTATTTACATCTAACACACACCCCCACGCCCAAAAGCAATGCACGTACACTCTAATTACAATTAATGCCCATAACCATATTAATTTTATAAATATGTAACTGCAGACGCTAATCTGTCTAAGCAAATGTGTAGATGTGAAATTTCATTATGGAAATTTTTATTTACAATCAACTTGCCCTTAAAAATAAAATAAATTATGATATTTTACATGAGAAGCCAATGTGTCTAACAAATATTAATTGTTTAAAAAGTAAACTATCGAAGCGGATTAAATATATACAAATATATTTTCAACATTTGAAATGAAAACTTTATTCAAAGAGGCGTACCAATTACTCAACTTATCTTTTGAATAATATAATTATCCCTTAATTATCTCAGTCATTTTATTATGGACGGCCATATATCTTAATACCTTGACTTTTTCCTCTAGGATTAGGAATATTATTCTTCATATAATCCGTTATCTTAATATTAATTTGATTATTCATATATCAATTTGATAGGAGAATGTTTTATTTATAATTTGCATTTATAATAAGATTTATGGTTAATCATAATTGACTTCATACACATATAATGTGTCCAATATCATATTAATTTTGTACATATTTAATTGCAAAAGTCAAAGGGTCCAAACATGAATGATTAAAAAGTTGAATTTGGAGGTGGAATCAATGGAAACGAATTTTGTGAATCGAATTATTTATTGAAAATATAAAATTAAATAAATAAACAAGTCCTATGTTACCTAATGGTGTACAATCTTATTACGAATTGAGAAGCCAAATATAAATAGGGGTTTCAATTTATGTGAATAAACATATTCTCATCAATATCTCTCTCATGTAAATAAGATCACTCCTCACGGGGTGACTGAGTTGGTGGAGTAGGTGAGCGGAGAGGTCTTTGGTCACGAGTTCGATTCCCCTATCAACACTTTCTAGGTTGAGTCTGTCGAATCGAGCTTACCTAGTGCAGTTTACCTGATTGGCGTGGTTTGCAGGTTATTGCGTTAGTTCAAGGGTTTACCCAGTGCGCACCCGAAAGGTAGCGGATGTGGGTTTTCCCATCATTAAAAAAAAAAAAAAAATCAAACACATTCACTCTCATCAAGATCGAACACATTCCAACAATATTACTTGATGGAACACTCCTCTTGGATTTCACTCTTAGACGGAGAGGAGGATCTCTATGATGATATCGTTTACGATTATCTGTCAGTCTAGCCACAAGCCCAGATCTCCTTTCTCGTCTGCAAGATTTAAAGCTTGATAGAAGAGAAAAAAAAAATGTTAGCTTTAAATGGCTTGGACCACACATTTTGGCTTTTCTCAAACATGCAACAAATCTGTGGTTCGATACTGACAAGAATGGATTTCTCTATTACTACAAATTCAATGATCTGTTGAAGTGTCTTGATTCTTCAGCCTGCTCTTGCATCTCATTCGAAGAAACTGAAGATTACATGGATTTTTTGGAAATCATTCTCTCTGTCATGCCAGAGATGAAGGAGTTATTCACAATTCAAAAGAAATTTTCTGATAGTGGTAGAACTCTCAGCAACCATATGACAGAGGCAGCAACGTTTGTCAGCTTTCTTCTTGAAACTATTGGAGAATTGCTAGGTTGCAGAACATATTCCCGTGTTCTTGTGAGTAATAAAGTCAAAGTTCTTTGGAAGGAGCTGAAATCTCTGCTCACTTTTCTTGTTGATACAATGCGATGCATCAAGCTAGAACAAATCAAGATTGAATTTACAGAATTTAAATCTCGAAAGCAAGATCAGATCGAGAAGATATTTGAAGGGAATATATTTAAAGAAATTGAAGCTGTATCTAATGAAGCAGGATTTTTCTTGCATTTGTTCTTTTTCACCATAGACCTTGTTACTGCGACCAAATTGGATCTGACAATTTCTGTTCTATTAGAAAGGATTGAGATTGTGAAAGCTAAGACTAAAATTACTGCATTGAAGTCTCAATGAAGCTGAATTGTGGAAGTGGAAATGGAAGCCTGCAAATTTCAGAAAGTTCAAGTGAAGTATCATCATCCCAAGATGGAAGCATTCCCATGGTAGAAGAGATGATATTGGGCTTCGATGACATGACAACAGAAATTGTAAGAAAGCTTGTTGGAGGACCAAATTACTGCCAGATTATTTCCATCTTTGGAATGGGTGGGCTTGACAAGACAATGTTAGCAAAGAAAATATACAATCATTCCAGTGTTAAGGACCATTTTGATGAGCTTTCTTGGTGTGTTGTTTCTCAAACTTATCAAAAGAGAAAACTATTGGTTGACATTTTGATCTCCATAGGCAACCTTAACAGAAATGAAATTTCAGAAATGGAAGGAGAAGAAGAGTTGGCCGAATGCTATTACAAAGGGTATAAGATACCTCATCGTTATGGACGATCTATGGGATAAAGAAGCATGGGATGATTTGAAAAAGTTATTTCCACAAGACAGAAATGGAAGCAGAGTGTTTTTCACCAGTCGGCTGAAAAATGTGGTATTGGAAATTTCACATGTTGTCATTGAACCTCCTCCCCTGTCATCAGATGAAAGTTGGAATTTATTAGAGCAGACGGTGTTCAAGAAAGAACGTTGCCCTCATGAATTGCAAGATATTGGAAAGCAAATTGCAACAAATTGTCATGGACCCCCGCTTTCAGTCGTCATGATTGCCGGAGTTCTGAGTTCTTTCAAATATGGAGAAGAAAGAAAGCTTATGGCAACAAGTTGCAGAGAGTTTAAGTTCATACATTTCCCAAAAAGCTGACGACTACATTCCCACATTGAAACTTAGGTACATGCATTTACCAAATCACTTGAAGCCATGTCTATCTCAGTGCATTCCAAGAAGATGAGGAAATTCCAGTTTGGAAGATATTATTACTATGGATAGCCTAAGGACTCGTAGAGAAAAAGGAGCACAAGAGCTTAGAAGATGTAGCAAAGGAGTATATAACGGAACTTATTAACAGAAGCTTCCTGCAAGTTTACCAAACAAGATCTGACAATGGAGTAAAAACATTTACTCTTCATGATCTAGTTTTTGATATGTGCAGTAAAATAGCTCTAGAAGATGAAAACTTTCTGTTTCAATAGTAAGTTAACTCCCTCTCTTTCTATTTCCTCCTCTTTTTACTTTCTTTTCCAATATATCCTACTAATTTGTGGTAATTATGCCAATGATGCTGCTGTTGATGATGCTGGTTGATGTTGTTACACTCATGATGATTCACCTTGTTCTTATTATTTTACTTCTTTAGTCAATTCTTGATATCTAAGCATCGCGATCGCTTGTGTACGGATCGATCTCATCATCTCTCTGAAGCCTTATCCATTCTTTATGAATCGGGAAAAGTTAGGCCCTGTTCTCTTTACCGTTTTCGGGCCGTTTTCTGTTTTCGATTTTTCAAAACGGTGAAAACGTGTTCTCTTTCCCGTTTTCGAAAACGAAAAAAAAATTTGTGAAGAAAACACAAAACGACTTTTTTGTCGTTTTGGACGTTTTCAGTGTAAAACTTGAAAAAACTGAAAACGCGGGAAACCCCTTTTTTTTTTTTTTCGGAGGTGGTATGGTGATTCTCAAAATTTCAAAAAATTAAAAATTAAAAATTATTATTATTATTATTATTATTATTATTATATATATATATATATATATATATATATATATATAAAAAAAAAAAAATTTCATTTTTTTTGTTTTGAGAAACAAACAAAAAGAACGCATTTTCAACAATTTCAAAACAAACACTCAAAATATAAAACTCAAAATGAATTTAAAACTCAAAACACAAAATTGAAACACAAAGAGAACACCCCCTTAGGATCTTAGATTCAGAATATTATGCAAATGTTCTGTTGGAAATCAAAACTATGCCTGACTTGAGGTACTTGGAAATTCCAACGTTGAAGTCATCAATAGGTAGACCCCAGAACCTATATTTTCTTCTTGTGAACGACCAATTTTATATTCATATACTAGCATACCTTCTCAATATGCCTAAGTTGAGACATCTACGTTTCGGAACTTTTTTTGGGGCACAAGATTCAAAAAGAATTGTGATAGATCCCAAGTAAAAAGCCTAGAGAGACTATATTACATTAATATTGGCGATCCGGAAGATGAAGAAATCTTGAACCAAATCTTCATACACTTAAATACTAATGCCAATCACACAATTTATGTCCTGATCTTAACTTTCTCAGCTTGAATCACTCAAAATGGTTTATGAAAGTAGATTCAAAGGTGATTACTCAGTGGTTAACTTCCCCAAGAATATCAGAAAACTTACTCTCTCTAAAATTGGTTTGCCACGGGAAAAGATGTCATTAATTGGGACAATGCCCGACTTGGAGATTCTAAAATTAGAGAGGGAAGCCTTTGAAGGAGATATCTGGAACACCAAGGATGACGAGTTCCAAAAACTCAAATCTCTTAAATGAGATGATCTAGATCTTAAACAGTGGAATTCCTCATACAATCATTTCCATGTACTTGAACGCTTGCAGTTGAATTATTGCAAAAAACTGAAGATGATTCCTTTCGAATTTAGCTATGGTTTAACACTACAGTTGATTGAGGTTTATTCCTGTGGCGAAAATGTTGAAAGTTCAGCTCCTCAAATTCATGAAGAACAACAGGAGTATGGTAATGAAGAGTTTGAAGTGATCATCTTCAGTGATTACTCTTACTAAAATTGGTTTGACATGGGATCTTCAGTGATCACTCTTACTAAAATTGGTTTGACATGGGAAAAGATGTCATTAATTGGGACATTGCCCAACCTGGAGATTCTAAAATTAGAGAGGGATTGCCAAAAACTGTAGATGATTCCTTTCGAATTTAGCTATAGTTTAACACTATAGTTGATTGAGGCTTATTTCTGTGGCAAAAATGTCGAAAGTTCAGCTTCGCAAATTCGCGAAGAACAACGGAAGAATGGCAACGAAGAGTTTGAAGTGATCATCTTTAGTCATGATTAGAGAGCCATTGTTCTACTGGTATACATGGTATAAGTCAAAGCTGATCTCATACTTCCTCTTTATTGGATCTTTTTCATTGTTTATTTGATTAACATTTTAGTTTTATTTTTTTAGCAGGAGATTCCTTGACATTTCACACCCGCATGGTGAGAAAAAATTATAATCTTTGGCTCCACGTCCTTTGCTAGTTGTTGTTCTTATTCATAGTCTTTTCTTTGTAGTGTAAGTTAATTTAAGAATTCTTTACTGGAAGTGAAATTAAACAATGTCCAGTTGCAAATTGTACTATTTTATGGTTAACTTGAGTTGGATCCAGATCTTAGCCTCGAATCTTTTGCTTTGTATTTTCTTTTCATGTATTCCTCTATTGCTTTATTTTTCCGACATGAATCACTATAAGTATTTCACAGTGTGAAATGAAACTCATTTGCTTCAAATTTTTTCATCTAATTTATGCTTTTGCATCCTGGCCAAAGGGGCATTGGGGAGAACCTTGTACTGATTATTTTAGGAGAAAACCTGGTATCATGACTTGGTGGGATGCAATTCAGCATGGGTTTGCACTGCAAGAGTTGATTACTTATGTCAATACAGAAAACAGAGAATTCCCATAAGTTTTCTTGATCAACGAAACAAAATCCTATCAAAACAGGGAAAGATATAATTTCATGTGCCACTTTGTTCCCATTTCTGGGAATAAAATGGCAAGAGCCACAATTAATATCTGGCAAGAAATCTGCAATATCTTAACAAATCGATTCATTAGCTTCTGATTCTAATATTTGTAAGACTTGTGGATCACGCTACTCATGGTAGATGACTAGATGTAGAAGCTGGAATACGCAATGCCGGTAGATAAGCCAGAGGTGGCTGCACACCAGAAGGAAAAATGAAAGTGGCATCTCAAAAGATATACGTAGTACAATTTCTGAGAGCAAAAGCAATATTAGTCAGATTAGAGGAAGCAATATCCAAAGCTGCACTGAAGGACCCATTATTTAGAATACCTTAGGACAAGGGAAACCCGAGTTTCTTAAAGTTGACATGCCAGGAAACAATTTCCCGAGGATCAGGACACCTAGAGCCTTTGTGAGGTCTCTAAGCTAAGGAACATGATTTTTGAATAATATTGGAAGGTCAAAGAAGTAGCAGCCTAGCAGGCACAACTAAAGATCTTGAACTGCTTGTAATGTGGAAACCTGTTTCTTATCATTTTTCAAGGAGATTTGTTTTGAAGAACAGGAGTCAGTAGTCTATTAATTGAATTTACAGAGCCTTAAAACTTTCTCATCAAAGTCTGAGAGGCACTTTATTTGTTTATTTATTTTTTGAGAAAGTAACCTATGGCCAAGTTCAACAATTTGTCAGTGCTTATGCTCGACTTATATTTTTCTCATGAGCATGAGGGACACTAGACATTGGTGTTGAAACTTGATGACATTTGTTGTGCAAAAATCCAGAATAATGGGAGGAGGAGTGAACACAAGAATGCAAAAACATCAAAATCAAAAATTAGGCTTGAAAACATGATCGCTATCCTCAAACGATAATTGTCCCCTCCAAAATTATTTTGAGTGCTTAAAAGGAATTAAGACAATTAATTTGTAAGTTGAACAAGCTTTAAAAAGAAAATATTAAAGCATGTGTTTCCTTCCAGGAACTCGAAGAACGTTTGAATGTGAACAAATTGGAACTAAGGAACTATAATATGGATTTTGATGATAATTTGATATTTTTGTAATTGAAATCTATCTCCTATTTAGTTTTCAATTCACACCACCATGAAATAGTATCAACCATTCATGAAAGATTGATCTTTTCATGAAATGCCGCCCAGTATCAAAATTGGAAGCCAGCATTAACGGCTTGTTTCAAAACCACGCATTCTGACTTCTGCAAATCATGTGTCCATGCATGCGCACGGACTCAATTGTGCCCAATTACTCTTTGTTTTGATTCTCATTGGTTTTATCTTTTCTCAATATCCAGTTCTCGCGTCCATATAATTCTTAAACAAATATACAACACGATTGAGTCCAAAATATTCATATGTGATCTCTATTGCCCTTTCTAGCCCGATTTGGAATATTTTATTTCAGCGGTGAATTAATTTTCAACCATATTATTGAATTGGATGAAACAGCTCTAGACACAAGCAAAACGACACTAGAGGGATACCTAAAAGATGATGCAATACATCCTTAGGCGCAATGATAATAGTAAATGACAAACTTTGTTCTACATTTGCACTTGATTTACTAGATAAACTAGAAAAATCAGCACTTTACGTTTTTGATATAGGATTGGTGATGACTGAATGTGATACAATTTGTTAAAGGTTCTCTGTAAAAAGGGACAACAACACATTGCCCATTTTCCTAGTCCTTTGCATGGCAGCGGGTGGACTAAAATTTGATCATGACATTGTTCTTTGCAGTTAGTTTTCAAACATACCAGAGATTTCGGTTATTTTGGAGATATGAAATATATTTCTAAGATGTAAAGTACTCATCACAGGTAAGGGAGGATAGCTAATTGCCAATATGAAAGATAGGGAATTGAGCTCCATTACAAACATTGAGATCATCATGATTACCATTATATTCTGAGTGTATGATGAGATTGCTTAGGGTCGATGTAATATGGTTTGTGGCTCTACTGCCACAGTGCAGCGTCATTAACAGACTATCTAAGGGCGACAAAGGAAAAATAGAAATTAAATGGATTGCTTGTGTTGTTACAATTGTAGAACTTCAAATTATAGCGATAATAACAAATTCTGAATCCTGAAATATGGATTTGACTCTTAGGTAAGTGCAAGTGTACAAGCAGCCTTCCACCCTGTATCCTTGGAGGCATAACCTGCGATTTACCTCCCTCACGATGCTCCAGGGCAGGGGCGGTGGGGGACCCTTAAGATTGGGGTTCAACCTTTTAATAATAAGAATTTGTTAGAATTATGTTATTTGTTTACAATTTGTTCTCTTGCTAATGAAATCGACAATAATATCAACTGGGGGAAATGATAGAACGGGCGAGTATTGCGGAGTATTTTTAAGTGTTTTAGGTAGAAAAACGAGGATGTTATTCTTGCAGGGATACTTGAATTGTTTGATCTTGGCTTCCCTGCTGTTTAGAGGAAGTTGAAGGCGCAGACCGGACAGTGTTGAGCCAACACTACCCAGTTTACTAATGGACCGTGCTGGCCCTGTCTAGCCAAGTTGTGCCAAACCTGTGAGTTTTATTGTCATTTGATTTTAATATGAAGAAATTGTAAGAGGTTATTTCTTGAAGATAACTACAGATTAGGCCTGGGCAAAAAAACCGCCAAACCACCCAAACCGCCAAACCAAACCGATTCGGTTCGGTCTAGAGTAGTCAAATGGTTTGGTTTGATTTTTTGTAGACAAAACCACGGTGGTTTGGTTTGGTTCATGGTTTGAATACCAAAACCGATGGTTAACCGCCCAACCCGTTACATATTGAAACATTTAAAAAAAAAAAAAAAAGAAAGAAAGAAAGGGGACTCATAGACGAAGTAGGACTGTAGGAGTCAAAATAAATATGATAACCCACTAACTCTAAATCTCTCCAAGTCTCCAATCGAGCCTCAATTTCTCATTCCTTTCCAGACTCCAATCTCTCCCGTTGCAATTCAAAAATTATCTTACAAGTTACTTCCATATTCTATCTCTGAGTCTCGACACCACAATTTGACTATTGCTCTGCCAGAAATTGCTGCAGCCTCTAAGCCTCTATGAATCGTAGCTTTCCATCCTCTAGTGCCTAAATCTTATATTAATTATCTATGGGAATATAGTGTCACTTTGTAATTCATGATTTGTAATTTGTAGTTTGCTAAACTTTTGTAATTTGTAACTTTTATTCTTTGAATTGAATCTAATATGTTAAACCTTTGTAATTTTTGTTCCTGTCTTCCTCTTTCTTGAATTGTGGTCGTTTTGAATCCGAATTATTGATCTCTTTTTCATTGTTTGCTGTCCATTTTTTATAAGTTACAATGCAATATTATTTAAAAGTCCAAACCGAGAAACCAAACCAAATCAAACCGAACCGAAGTGGTTTGGGTTGGTTTGGTTTGAGAGTTAGAGTGGGTTGGTTTTGGTTTTAATTTTGCTCAAACCGACTACTTTGGTTTGGTTTTGGGTTGAGGTCGAAACCAACCCAAACCAAACCACGCCCAGGCCTACTACAGATAATTATTGTCAATAAAACTTGTACAGACTAATATTAATACAGCTGAACTGAGTTCTTTTACAAGTAATTGAAGTGTTTAAATTAATGACTCTTATGATATTCGAGTTTGTTAACGAGTTAACTTATAATTGTGATGGTACACATTTTTTTTTTTTTTTTTTTTTTTGCAATTTGAAGAAAGTACATTTTAGTTGTTGCTAAAGTCTGCTACTCATTGGTGGCAATTTTGAGTAGCATTTTGAGATCTTTAAAAAATAATAATAATCTACACTCTGGTTTTAATAATTGGCTCATATTCTGTAAACACTAAGTATTTGTTCGCCTTAGGTGCTTCTTGCTTCTAGTTGATTAAAGCCCTTCATTTGTTTCTTTTGCTTCTTATGCATAGGGTTGTGAAAACTCTGATGTTTGCCCTTTTGAAGTATTCAAGGTACGATTTGCTTATTCTAGAGTTTAGCATGAAGCCATACGTTGGTCACTCATTTCTCTAATTCAATCTTCCATTACTCAGGAACGAATAGCTATTCCTCATTTAAAGCATGATTACACGGCTCTTTGCAATATGGAATCAGATCAAACAGAGCAAACTGCCTCGGTCAATACATTATCCCAAATGTTAAGTTGGCTTTTCCCAGTGAGGAATAGCAATAGACGAGCCCAGAAAGTTGAGTTGTAGTTTTATTAACATAGAGCCATAACTCTCGCATTTTCCCTAACTTGACTATTGCCTCTTGACTTTCTTAATTTGTCATTGATCCAGCGGTTCCTTCTAACAGGTTACAGTTTGAGCAAGATCACGTCTTAGACAGAGCTATTTGTACTCTTTTTTTGGCATACCTATTTTTAGCATTTGTCAAGTTTTAACTCTTAACTCTTAAGCAGCAGATTGTGTTTCTATTCACAATCTTCTTCAGATTAACAATTTGAAGAAATATGCATCCATTTGGGAAGTTGATGACTGCAGAGAGCATATGTTTATCCAGGTCACCCTTATATGTGCAAATTTGGGGCTAATGAATTGTTAATTCTGGAGTATCGATGCTTTTTTATTTTGCTGTTGCAGTTTGAACCAGCTCCACGGAGAGGGGAATCTAATTTAACTCGGAGAACATCTGATTATTTCTTGTAGCGCTGATAGTTACTGACTTGATGTTTGCATTATGGTTGGTTGGAGTTGTTACATTTCCTTTGCCGATATTTGAGCTTCTCAATTTACTAGGCCCTTTTGAAGGTGGAAAAAGGCTTGTAAAGTGCAAGATAATATTCGACTGTCCAAATAATATTCTTTCTTAGGGTGGTCCCTGAAATTGAGAAATTGTGCTCCTTTTTATAGGTGGTGTTGTATCACATTTTATATTTTAGTGTATGATTCAAAAATTTCTAATGAAATTATCAATTTTATGCAATTCCAAAATTTGTTTATTAAGATTTATCTTTGATTTTGCTAGTCAATATGCATACATTAATGCTTATAAAAAAAAAAAAAAAAAAACCTTACATCAACGTTCGAAAAACGCTGCAAAAGGGAACTTACGGCAATAATCAAAAAACGCTGCAAAAAGCTTATTCGCAACGTCTTCAGCTCTACAGCAACATCGATGCTCGTAACGCATGCCCGAACGTTGCAAAAGGCTTTTGGTAGCATTTTTTGACCGCTGCAAATGACTATTTTTGGTGTAGTGTAACATCATATTCCAAAAATATTGAGATGAGGAATGTGTCCGATCCCATAAATATTAATTAGAAGTACTATGATTAAAGGGTAATTATATTCACACCACAATTTTTACTTCTTACAACATATTTTAATTGTATTTAAGGTTTTTAATCTTTGTTCATCATAGCACTCAGGGCCGTACCTGTGTTTTGAGGGTCCTTAGCTGAACTTTAGAATTTGAACTCTTAAATCAGAGCAAACAATCATTTTTTTTTCATTTATAAGAGTTCTACAGACCTGAATTTGTTAGCTTAAAATCAACAATAAACACAACAAATAAAATAAAATATTCAAAATATCTATATTACAATCAAATAACAATGCGAAAATATTCTAAATGATCACTTAAATACAACTTATCTTACGATTTTAGAGGAAAAATCAATCAATGTTGGATAATCGAGTTTTTCAACCATTTTTTTAATGGATAACATGCTAATCCATTTAATATTTGCTGTGGCATAGTTAATCAGAGATACGTCTAGGTCAATTCCAACTTGGAGAAACTTTTTTCTATTGATGCAATTGCAGCCGACATGGTTAGCAAAATCTTGAACGCAATGCAATCATTGAGGAAACAATCATTCATTTCTTCAAATAATATAGTACATCAACTGCTCTTTATATTTTTTCTGAGTAAATAGCACTTCATTGTCTTTACACGCATTTTTTACTTAGTTTTCATCATTATGGCTATTCCTAGAGATGAGGGTTTGGCATGCACCCCTATAAATAGTAAACACTTTTTTACAAGTTTTGTATTACTGAGATGAGAATTATTGTGAGAGACACAATATTGTTGTATTTTTTTTCTCTATTATAGTTGAATAAATCTTCAATATCTTTGTCAAATTAAATTATTGTTTATTGTATTCTTGTTATTGTGATCAACACTTCATATCATGTCATGTAACCTTGTTCCTCGTTCCCAACAATAATAATGGAGAATTAGGAGAAGTTCAATTGGCTTAAAAATTTGTTGATGGACCTGTGAGATTTTAATTAGATCGATAAGGGATTAAGGATATGTATGACCTATGAAGCTTTAGTTTCGTGCCTAAGTAATTTAATTTGGATTGTTAAAAGTAGCTTAAAAAAGGTAAATATAATTTTTTTGGGCTCTCTAATGAGCTAGGCCCGAGGTAGCGACCTCTTGAGCCTTTCTTTACGTTCTACTCTGATAGAACTTAGGTTTCTAACAATTTGTCATGTCATTATTATTCTCAAACTTTCTAGTAGTTAACACATTTTATATTTGATAATAGTTTTATATCCAAAGAATCCATTGAAATGGTTTCAAACAACTTATTTTTCATTATATTCTTAAAAATAAACCAATAAAAACATATTTGCAACGTTCAAAAAATGCTGCAAAAGGTAACTTATGGCAACATTCAAAAAACGTTGCAAAAAGTTTATTCGCAACATTCAAAAAATGTTATCGTATCTTTCAGCTCTACGGCAACATCGATGCCCGCAACGCATGCCCAAACGCTGTAAAAGGCTTTTGGCAGCGTTTTTTGACCGTTGCAAATGGCTATTTTTGGAGTAGTGTAACATCATATTCCAAAAATATTGAGATGTGGAATGTGTCCAATCCCATAAATATTAATTGGAAGCGCTATGATTAAAGGATAATTATATTCACACCACAATTTTTACTTCTTACAACATATTTTAATTGTACTTAAGGTTTTCAATCTTTGTTCATCATAGCACTCAGGGCCGTACCTGTGTTTTGCAGATCCTTAGCTGAACTTTAGAATTTGAACTCTTAAATCATAGCAAACAATCAATTTTTTTTTCATTTATAAGAGATCTACAGAACTGAATTTGTTAGCTTAAAATCAACAATAAACACAACAAATAAAATAAAATATTCAAAATATTTATATTACAATCAAATAAATTATCATTTCAAAGAGTGAAAACAAAATATTTTGATATAAATTATCATCAAGGACGAGATGTACTAATTAATAAAAGGTTGAAGATAAGAATTTGACGAAAAAAGTTAAGAAAATAATTGCTATAATGAGCAAAGATTGATGAACTTAACTATAATTAAAATGTGAGTCTATATGTTTAGAGCTACATGGGCCAAGACAAGCAACATTATTGTTAAAATGTGGTGTATCAAATAAAAATTGTGGTGATAATATAAATATTCATAATTAAAATGAATCATGCAAATTACAGGTACAATCGGATGTCATTTTTTCTTTTTCAAGATTGTCAAGTATTTTTATGATCCAATCTTTAATATGTGTCATAGTGCCAATTGCAATGTAAAAACAACATCATGGATTCGAGATATTTGGTTATAATCCATTTGAAAGAAATTATTTACATCTAACACACAACCAAGGGCAATGCGTGTACAATTTATTTATGAATTTTATTTATGTCCATAACCATATTAATTTTATGAATATGTAATTGCAAAGCTAATCTGTCTAAGCAAATGGGTAAATGTGAAATTTCATTACAAAAGATTTTATTTACAATTAACTTTTCCTTAAAATAAGCTCCTGGGAAGAAACGTGTTTTTGAATAGTGAGTTTTGGAGAATGTGTGATTAAAAAATAAAGTCAGTTTTGTGTGTAAAATTATTTTTATAAAAAAAAGTGATTGAAAATGAGTTTTTGAAAAATAAGCTTTTGAAAAAATGGAGGCCAAATATAAGCTAAATGAATTATTATATTTGACTTGAAATGAAAACTTTATAGAAAGATGCATGAAGCTACCCAACTTGTCTGTTTGAATAATATTGTAAATGTTGGGTTTTGATACCCATTGAATCCTGGGCCATGATGTAAACGTTTGAATATAATTTCACATGTCTCGACCAATGGTGAATGAATTACTAACAACCAAGTCCAAAGATTAGACCTAAAAATAATATGGACCGTTGGAAGTAGCTTAAGAAATTAATACTACTAACGACCCGTTTATGTTACCTCTTGGATGATTTTGAATCTCAACCCATTTAACCTTTTATTGGTCCAACTAAAACCTAACCTAGCCAATATATATGGTGTCTTTACCCTAGCTGATAAGTGTATGATTTGTGTGTAAAAGGAGAAAAAACACGGCTGCACTATTGAGATAGAAAAACATGTGTGTTGTGGAGAGAAAAATCCGGTTGCCATTGCTTCCAAAAACTAGCGATTGCTTCTTTCATCTTTGGTCTCCATTTTGTTTCTCTTTCATTGGTTTTCTTCTTGCCTTTGTGGCTACAAATCAACACCGTATCTTGTTCTTTGTGGGTAAGATTGATGAGCAACCGAAGTGAACACATTTGAAGTGGGTTGGAGCCTTTTGAATTGGTTGTTTGGTAGATAAAGGTAACGTGAAATTGAGCTCGAAAATTATTGATTTTACCATCCTTGGAGCGAGCTTCTGTAATAATAAACTATCATCTTTCATATTCCTTAGGATAAGTGTATTATTCAAAATAGACTGCTATGTATCTTAGTAGTTGTGCTACATTTACATAATATGTTTATGTAATGATATGTGTACAATGATGTGTGATATATGATTGAGACAGAATTTTTTCAATTAAACTAAAAAAACATTCACTATCTTTTTTTGACATCTTATCTATATATAAACCATTATGTAACTGTTTATGTACAAGTTACCCACTGTTCCAACTGATTGTCCACCCTTCCCAAGTGTGAAAAAGTGCTTTTGCCGTTATGGAATAAGAAGCCTTCGTATCTTAATGCACGTATTTAATTTATTTGGAGCTATTAGAGCGGGATCCACTTTTTGGGGAATATGAGTTGAAGCAATGACAAGAACATTTCTAGTGAAACATCTTTCAGAGGGATGGTTCACTAACATATCAAGGGATAAGTGATTCGACTCATTCACATCTAGATCATGAATGTTTGGAATCCATATTATATAATGAGACATTGCTTTTGTTAATTCAAATTGAAGGGTGATATCTTCTTCCGCTTTGTCCCAAAGAGTAACGAGGACCATTTAATCACATTTTCATATTCCAATTAAACACTTTCCATTTTTCATTATTTTCAAATGAGAAGATTATTCTCTTTACCAACTTAAAAAAAATAAAATCAATGTATAGATTCAAGTCCTCTTTCTTTGTTCCTATTCTTTTTTTGTAGCAGGTTCCTTTAGACTTCTGATGAAAGGGTTTTTTCTTCGATTTTTCAATAAAGATCAATTTAAACTTCTTTCTTCCTTAAAATGGAAAAAAAGGTCGAAAAACTTATCGAATTAACTTCTTACTGATGTATTGTTTCATCAAGATTCAATTCAAATCACAATGATATTTTCTTGTTCCTAAATAGGTCTTTCACTCCAATAGTTGTACGACAGGTAGGTTTTTTATTGGATAACTACGTCCTCGAGCTCGAGGTTTGAATTTCTTCACGGTAGTACCCTAGTTAACTTTAGCCTTACTAATGACTAAATTGCATTCATTGGAACCCATATTGTGACTAGCATTAGCTGCTGCAAAGTAAACCAATTTAAAAATGGGATAACATACTCTATAGCGAACGAGTTCTAGCATCATAAGTATTTCCTCATAGGAGCATCCGAAAATACCTTTCTAAATATTCCTCAATGTTTCGG